TGGCTGGAAAGCTGTCCACTAGAAAAGGACCTGTTGTTTGTTGATGGCTGGCTGAACGTGAGCCAGCAGTGTGCCAAGGTGGCCAAGAAGGCCAAGAGCATCCTGACTTGTACTAGAAATAGTATGGCCAGCAGGACTAGGGAAGTGATTGTCCTCCTGTACTCGGCACTGGTGAGGCTGGATCTCAAGTTCTGTGTTCAGTTTTGGGCCCCTCACTACAAGGACATTGAGGCACTGGAGTGTGTCCAGAGGAGAGCAACAAAGCTGGTGAAAAGTCTGGAGCACAAATCCCATGAGGAGCGGCTGAGGGAACTGAGACTGTTTAGCCTGGAGAAAAGGAGGCTGAGGGGAGACCTTATGACTCTACAACTACCTGAAAAGAGGTTGTAGCAAGGTGGGTGTTGGTCTCTTCTCCCAAGTAACAAGTGACAGGACAAGAGGAAACAGCCTTAGGTTTTGCCAGGGGAGGTTTAGTTTGGACATTAGGAAAACTTTCTTCACCAAAAGGGGCTGTCAAGCATTGGAACAGGCTGCCTGGGGAAGTGGTTGAGTCACCATCCTTGGAGGTACTTAAAAGAGGTGTAGATGTGGTGCTTAGGGCCATGGTTTAGTAGTTGACCTGGCAGTGTTAGATTTATGGTTGGACCTGATGATCTGAAAGGTCTTTTCCCACCAAAATATGCTATGATTCTATGAAAGAGCTCTGCCATATCCATAACTCCAGGTACCTGTCTTTCATGTAATTTGGCACAACCCTTCAGCAGCATGTTGTTATTCCTTAGGAAAATGCTTGAAATCTCCATTTGTCTTACATGAAGCATCTTCCAAAACACATGTTACAGATGCCTTAAGGTTTTACTCAATTGAGTTTTAATTTCAGTTTTTACTATAGAAAATAGATGTGCCTTTGTCCTGTTCTGTATTTTTCATTCCTCAGAAGTCAAGTATGCTTGATCACTTGTATATGAAAACTAGAGGGACCAAAATCTCATTTTCCCTTTGTGTTTGTCCATGTTTGTGTATCCTCACTACGAAGTCAAGCACTTGTCAATATGTGTAGCATTTCATTAAAGTTGAATATGCAAGCAAGGGTGGTGTGGACATATGATGCTTTTAAGGCAAGTATATTTATATAGCTGTGATTTGTTTAAAATGTGTTTTGAAATAACCCCATACAAAGACAGCAGTAAGCCTTATTTGTGTATGTATACACCATTCAGAGCACCATTCAACACCTCATAGTGCTCTGTACCAATTTGCTGGGTTTGATTTAAGAAGTAGGCATAGACAGAGTTACGAGATCTGCTCAGCTGCTCCTGAAAAGCCCATTCCCTTTTCTGAAGGTGTGAGACAGGTCAACCAGTGTCCTATTGCAGACAGGTCCTTGGCTGTAGATTAGGGTCCAGCAGCCTGATTAAATGTTTTTTAACTTTGAGAGCTGAATCTTGAGCAATCTGGCTATGTTAGTCCTTAGTGTGTATAGCAGTGGTAATAGAGAGCTTCTGCTTTTCCGCTGTTGTGAACACCACTGAAAGTCTGACTTGTCTTGGCTCTCCCCAGAAAGTTTCCTCCTTCACTGCTGCAGACAATCAGTATGATTGCTACCTTGCACTGCAACGGTGTTAAGTTCTTGCAGTTCCTCCAGCTCTTGGAGCCAAATGGGCTAGCTCCGAAAAGAACTTAGACTGCTAAAAGCCCTGTTTTTCCAGATGGATCTGATTTTCCTGTAACATTCAGCTGGAATGCTGAATTCAGCATGAAACAGCCGTATCTCCTTGCGTCCCTTTTCTAGGTCAGGCAGATATCTTGCCTGGCTGTCAGGTGATGCTATTTTGTATCAGATTATAACATGCAAATTCTTCTAGCACCTAAATGGAGACACAAAAAAATTCCATACCTTGAAAAGACATGTCTGAATAATGCATTAAACCACAATGTTGTGCTTTATAAGTCTCAGCGTACCTCAGGGGATTTTTCAGAAGGCTTCTGCCTTTCACAAGGCTTATTTGTTTCAAGTCATAAGGTAATAAACAAGACAATGAAGTACCCTGCCACAAAAAACGTGTTAGAGAGCCAGACTTCCTTCTATCTATTGCCTTTTATATCTTCCTTTTCCTCATTTTCTTAGCAATGGGAGTTGTTCAGCTTCTTTCACTTGCAGAGACGTTTATTGTTGATGTTTGTGCTTCTCTGGTCTTGCAAAATGTACTGTACTATCCCAAAGCAAAACCAAATTCTTACTACTCTTATGGTTTTAATGTACTTACTGATTGAATGCCCTTTTTTAGCCATCACTGGTTGTCTGGCTCAGACAGCTGGTACTTCTCTCCAGCTGGAGGGACAGCTGTACTTTTAATCGTGGGGAAAACAGTGGTCTTGGTGAGTTGCATATGTTCTTTTCACAGTGTAGATTTTGGACTCAGAGCAGCTATTAGCAGTGTATTCTCTCTGCATTTTCTTATTCTACTGAGGGATAGTGAAGCATGTCTCTTACAAATACTTAAAAGAAAAGGCCACTCTAGTACAGAAGCATGTAATTTTTTTCTTCAGCCCTGTTAGCCTAAAGCAAGCGGTAGGGCATACAGGACAGAGACAGAGCTTGGCCAGTGTAAATCAATGTAACCCTCTGTCCTGAAGGAAATGCACTGATTGACTTCCATGCAAAATCTCTACCGCTCACATTTTACTGTCTTCTGGAAAGAGAGGTGTTCCTCAGTATAATGTGTGCTGTTCCTCAGGATATAGGTACTGTAACTCTGAACACTAGACATGTTTAATGGTTCTTTACTTTGTGGCTAAGATGTCTGATGAAAGCCACGTGTGATGTCTTTGGCTGCTGTTATTTTGTGTTTGTGTTTGTCAAGGAACACTTACTTATTTTACATTATTTGCAGTGGGAAGAGGAGAGAAATCTTGGAGCATCACTAGTGCTAACGGGTCTAAAGCAAACAAACACTGTGGGGTTTAGCTCCCAGCTGTATGGCTATGCATTCCTTGGTAAGTTTTACCTCCCTCACAGTCATCTCTTTTCCCTCTTGTCTTCAGTGGCTGAATTACATTGTCATCTTTGCTTCATTAAAATGTAATCAAGGACAAGTTTAAGAAAAAAGGACAGAAATAGTGGAAGGAATAATTTCAGAACAATTTCTGCTTTGTAAGCCTGGAGGGCAGTACTGCTTTGAATGATATGCCCTTTGTCAGACAGCTTCAGAACCTTCTTTAGAGCTCCCTGTAGGTTTGGGTTGGCAGCTGAAAGGAAAAAGATGTTCTTAAAGGACAGTAAGGTTGGTTAGTTTGTGCCACAACAAATTTAAAAAAAACCAAAAGTACATAGTTCCATAACACAAATTTAAGGTTGTGGACAGTAGACTCATTTTCTAGTTAGTGAGCTTCTTAAAATAATTCTTAAACCTCAGGAAATTCAAAGACCGCAGTCTGAAAAACACTATGTTTAGAACATTTACTGCTCACTCTAAAGTTAATGTTTCTGTTGTGAACAGCAGATAGCAGTGCCTTTATCCTGTATCTGTCAAGGAGTCTTCACTGATAATTATATTCTATATTATTAAAGAGCAGTTGGATCAGAATGTATCCAAAATTGGAGGGAAGGGGAATGAGGAATGGAGTAAGTAATTCTTGAATTTCCTCTAACCTTTAGAGGAATACTGTGCAGATAGGTTTTGTCCTTCTCTACAAAATGAGTATTTACTTGAAAGTAGTTCATGAATTTAAAATATATGATTATGCAATAGTATTATTACTGCATTATATTTCATTCTAGAATTTATTAAGGGTAATAAAAAGTGGACTTGTTTTTAAAATGTGGCCTCAAAATCTGATGTGTAGTACAGATTTAGGATGCTGATTCAGATTTATCATGGCTGTAAGACAAAAAAGTAATTTTCTGTCAAAAAGGTAGATAAATATGAAAATTAGTTTGAAAGCAGGATTTTCCATAGAGCTGTAGTTTGTTGTCCAGTGAAGATTCTGATACAAACAGGGACCTTGCTGTCCAGTTGGCATTCAGTTTAGGGTGGTTTTTAATGTCTTATAGATTGGTGGAGTAGCGGCTGTGTTTCAAAAATGCACTTTACTGTTATCTGCGAGCAGTAGTACTTGTTCCATGACATTGACATTCAGCGGATCAAAAGCTATTAACTGTTATGTCATGTGTTTCACAGTCTTGCCAACGCTAATGGAACCAACCTCTGAGAGAGTGAAAGTTGTCTACAGACACAGAGTGGCCTCAAGCACCTCAGCTATTTTAATTTAGCCATAGTCCATAAGCTTGTCTGTGCATTTATTACCTTGCTTTTCCTAAACTGTTCTCTTTCATGTAAAGAAGTGAGGTGTGTTTCATAGTTTTGTGTCATTATAGCCAGAGTACAAATTAGGTTGAGATCTTGGATACAACTCTCGTAAGCTACACTTATTGGTGTATTTGTCGTGTATACACTTGTTGGTATTATTTGTTACATTGACAATGACAAAATCAAAACCTTAGTACTTACCAGCTGCAACATGATGTTCGTTTCCTTGGTTATGTAGGATTTTCATGTTCTCTAGTAATTGCTGTCAGAAGAAAAGACACAGTCAGTGGTGCTGTGCATCACAGGTCCTGCTAAAGTCAGAGGCCTTGTTGCACAGAATGTCCTAAATCCAGAAACAAAATTTCATTTTGGCGGGTCTCCCGTATTTGCTCTCAGGAAGCTCCAGCAGAAATAGGGGTACTAAGCTGTATAGTTAGCCAGAGCGTGTGCTGTAAATACCGTACAGTCTGGCCATGACATGTGTGTAAGTAGACCCTAAGGGCCACAGTGGTGAGTCCAGAGACTCAGTTTTAGTGCACACATGCTGCACAGTCAGTCCCTGAAGGCTAAGGAGACATTTGTCTGAGACCTTCAGACATCTGCTCAGAGCTGCTGTTACAACTGACAGACAAACAGAAAACCTGACCACTTTTCCTCTTTTTCATCTGGACAAAAGTTCTAGGGGAAGGAGGAGGGGGAATGGGGAAGAACGAGAAACAAACATGTTTTAACCGTGAAGTTGGGCAAAAAGAAAGTACCTTAATAAAATAAGGTAATAGCAGTTCTTTCAGAGCAGCTTTGTAGAAGAGTGTGGTTTTTTTACCACAGAAGCAAGACACTTGTCACTTTTATAAAACAGAGCCAAACCATATGGATTCTGTTAAGACTCAAGTATTGAAGTACTAATGCTAACGTGTTTTTTTATCACAGGGAAAGTGGAGTTGCACAAAGGGCTAAGAGCTGTATACAATCTAATGCCACTGATGTGGACACCTGGATACTTGAATAGAGCCTTACAAGTGATGGAGAACGTGGCTTCATTGTCAGGGGACAGCAAAATCTGCAAAGAAGCTGTAAGTATGAAGTCTATAACCCGCTGAACAGAGGGAATTTCTTACAAGCCAAACTCCAGTAAAACTTGTGAATTCTGTGCCTTGCTAATGAGAAGAGGCCCAGCAATACTTCAGAGGTCTTTGGAAGACAGGAGAAGAAGTAATGTTTAGAACAGAATCACTGCTTTAGTTGATGAGCCAGTGATGATGTCTACTGGCATGTCCTTGGGAATGAGTGTCTGTTAGTGCCACAAAGCATTAATGTTTCCTAAGCATTCCCCTCCCTATAGAGACACCTTGGTCTGTGTCACAGGAAACACCTATCTATGGGGATGGGGAGACATCTTTGTTTCCCAAGCTTTTGAACTCAGTCAGAGATGTACGTGTTAGAAGCGTGGATAAAGTATCACATCTTGTTCCTCTCTCAGCTAATTCTGTGTATTCTGTGCCCTCTGAGATGATATTGTCCTGAGTAATACTGGTCCAAAAATGGTACTGAGTGATTCAGAAGGGTTGTAGTGCCCTCAGTTGGGGAGGATGGATAGATTCTGTCCATTTGTGAGGTCAGCACTGACTAAGGGACTGGGGGCTTAGGATTGCTCTGGGGCTTCAGGCTGATCATGGAATCAGACAGCTTTGGAAGTGTAACTCAGGAAACCACTACTGCATGGACTGGAGCATAGAAACAGCACTGAGGTCTCGCCTCCTCTTCTTGGTACTCTTTCCTGAAGGTGTCTCTGTTGACAGGAGTTTCCCTTTTGCTGGCATGTCTTGCAGTCTCTGCATTTCTTATTCTGACAAATAAAGGCCAGGGCACTGCTCAGCAGCTTCTCCTATCTATTGCTCTGTGCTCGGAAGCAGCTCTGTAATACTGGACAGTGCAAGGAGGGAGATGTCACATCTGCAACTTCCACCATTTTGAGTTACCTATTCATGTGTGTGGTTTGGGGGATTTCTTCCTTACGCAAAGCTGGAAGAACTCAGCCTAATATGTTTGTGATTTTTCTGCTTACAAACTCTGGACAAATCAAGGAACTCCTCAGCTTGCTCTGGGTTGTAGATAAACATTCCATAGTAATATCTTATTTAGATGTATCTGTGATTGTGTATCATGCTACTGCTGTTATCACTGTGACTACCATTTAGCGTTAGTATCTCTGGCTGGGTATCAGGCCAAGAGAAGAGATAAGCTTAGCATCTCACAGATCTGCAAATACCACTCAGCATCTGAGTCACAAGGAGTTTTATTGTTGACAGGGATTGGTGGAGTTGTTCTGTTGTAAAAATTTAATGTCCCACCTCAAACGTCCCAAGTACAGTACAAAATTTCTTCCAAGAATAAATTCCATTTCCATTCTTTCTAAAAGAATCTGGTTTTCATTTTATCATACAAGTCATCTTAAAATTATTAGTAACTCATGATTTTGTTTGTAAACATGAAAACAGTGTTACTCGGATTGTATTTCCAAACTGTTTATGCTAACAATGACAAATGTGATTATTCAGATTGATGCTCTGGAGACCATTTTGCAGTCTGTCCTTGAAGCAAAACCTAGTCCAGAATCAGCTGAAGAAATCAAGGAATTAGAGCAGAAGTCACAGTGTGCAGAATCAGAAGAAACAGAGCAGTCTAAAGTACCCGAGTACTACAGCCGGTTCAAGGTAAGAGTTTCATTTATCTAAATATTCTAAGCTGTAGTAGGTCTTCACAATATATACTGGAAAATATATATCCTGTCTTATTATGGCTGGTAGACTGACAACCCTCCAGTGCATTTGGAGTCCTACCTGGCATTTTTGAAACTAATGTCACCTTACATTTTCAGTTCTTCAAACAGGAAGCATCAGCCTACAAAGACATAAATGCTCAAGGCCACTTGTCTTTTGTCTGCTGGGATTTTATCTTCACTTTTCATACATCAAAATGATAAATCCAGTCCTCTTTACAAAAGTGGTGTGTCATTAGAGATCCATTATCTGACCTTGTGTAGGGTCTCGCTCATTAAAATAAATAGCAATAGGCATGAGACCATCCTGAATTTAGTGTCCATTTGTGTATGTTATGATTAAGAAGGAGTGTTGCATCCTGTACTTTCAGTCTGGGGAATTAAGTAAGGCTATATCGCCTCCCATTTATCTTTAGGTCGTCATGCTGGGAGGGAGTGTCGACCTGC